CCCCAAAACCCCAAAACCCCTTAGAGAGCAATTAGTATATTTAATGAAATCATCAAAATTAAAATAGATCTATACTTAATATTTACACTGGTCTAATAATCAATTTCATCATAGTCTTTCATCGAAGCTGCTAAAATCACTTTTTTATATGGCTTTGCCTTAGGACTAAGTCTTGGAGAATGATGAAATCTAGAAAGAATCTTGCTGGTTTTGAAAAGCTGGATGCTATAACTTGTTTGGAATATTTTTCACCAAGACACTCTTGACATTGTTCTGGTTTACAATAGCTCTTTCGATTGATAATCCATGAAGGTTGGAATCAGGAGGCTTTGTAAGAACCTCATCATTTTCCTCTGACTCATCCTCTGAATCCGAGAATCCATACTATTGTTTAAGGTTTAATACTGGCTTCCCTCCTATCATAGTGGTGGCGTACTTAGACTTGATACTTGCAGCTATCCTCATCTACTCTATTAGTTTACCGATTTTCTTGTCTTTTATTGAATTTTTGAAATCTTAAAAGATGCCTCTCTTTTCGACCTCGTTCTTTCCATGCATTAACTTTGGCAACTAAACTGAGTGATGATCAAATACATTCGGAGGAGGCTGTATGTAAAGTTACTGCTGAGTAAACGGCTTAGTATTAATGTAGCCTGTTCTAGTCATCATCCCACCTGAGGGTGAGAATGTCTAAGGAGTGCTAGCTGTTTATGGCATGCCTCCCTGTGATTTGCGAGAAAGAGGACTTGAAGGAACTGATTGATTGACATTCATCGAGTTAATGTATTTCTTTTGGAATTAGTGTGAAAGGTAGTATGATAACTTGACATTACCTTTCTAGCCTGATCCAAACTTATTAATATAAGAAGCAGTAGCCATTTGATAAGGTCTGCATGTCAATTCATTCTCATAATCCATTGATGTAGGAGTGTACGAAAATCTTTCACGCCTGCTACCGAAGTTGTATTATCTCTAGATAAGCTGTCGATAAGCACTATAGAAATTCAAGGGCTCTTGATAGTGAGAATCATTCTGTAAAATTTCCTATGCACTTATGTTTAGATTAGCAACTTTGATCTTTCCGACAAAGCTTGAGTTCTAATGTAAAGTTGAATTAGATTGGATTGTAGTTTCTTCTATAATCTGCTGAGTGATATATACATTGTCTCTTTGGATTTAATTTAAGTTGCTCACATTTTGGATGTTACTTCTTGGAGATGTAAGCATTTTTGTGTTGGAAGACGCCTCTGATGGTTGCTTAATCTCACTTTCCTCTTTTTCCAAGTTTAATGGGCCCATCCCATTTTCAAGATTCATGCTTATTAGTTGATTGTTGAAGTGACCACCAAGTCTGTCTCCTTATAAAGAGTTAAGCTCACTCAGAGCAATGGACTCGCCCTTGTTGAATTATGGATTCTTGATTCTGTCTAATTCTCTATCAAATATCTTAAAATTCTTAGAGCTGACTTTGATTGGCTTGGAATATTCATCATCTTTACCCATATAGCTTAATATTTTACTTCTAGTTGAAGCGTCACCACCTGCCTTAGGTGTCATAAGATCTTAAGCTCTCTTCCACATTATTGTAGTCTGATTCTTAACATATAAAAGTCTTTCCAAGTCTCTAATGGTGTCTCCAGTTTTGCCTTCTTAAGTTTCAAATATAGGATTACCAGCTAAAGTAAGAAGTATTAGATTCTGAAAGTTTTGGCAATACAGTAAATCCTCTTAGCTAGTGATAATATTATAACTTAAGTCAAGTTCAGTTAACTTGTGGAAATTGACTTTTTTAATTTGCATCTCTTCATAGTGTATTCCTTCAAGTTTGTTATAGGAGAGATTAAGTTTCTTGATTCTGGGTATGGATGCTAAAGCCATGAAAAACTTATTAGGATTATAAATTGAAGTGTGAGATGAAAATAGGTTATGCGACAGGTTTAGTTCTTCAAGATTCAATAGGTATGAAAGATCATCTGGAACCTGTGAAAGATAGTTTGAGGATAAATCTAGTACTTTTAGTTTAGGCAGAAACTTCAAAAAGTGAATGCTATTTATTGGTATATTATTATAAGCCAATCCAATAGTCTCCAAGCTAATTAACCCAAAATAAGTCTTTACTGAAACATCTTTTTAGTTTTAAAGCATCAAATGGCATTCCTACAAGAACTAAAGACTGTTGATATGGTTATATGCGAGATTAATATGGGTAAGATTTTTAAGCATCCCAAGTTTGATAAGTTCGATCTGGCTATTAAGTTGATTGTCAGAGGCATCAAGATAAGATAAGTTATTGAAAAAACTCAAGTCATTCTGATTTATTATATTAATGCAAAGTGACTGTAAATTAGCTTTAATCGCTTCATGAGGCAATTTCACTCTGCACGAGTATAAGATAGTGAAACCATCAAGGATAGTAAATTGCTGATTGATATTATTTATCATTTGAGAAGAGAGTCTAGCCTACTTTACTGAGCTCAAACCACCAGATTTGGTACCTTCATTCATATCACTCAACACCTATTATTTAAAGTAGTTGTTGCTTTTTGGAGAAACCTAGTTGCTGTTTGGCTGAGTTTTAATTAGAGAATTGGTAAAGTCTCTTTGCTACTGCTCAAGATTGTTCAAAGGATGATAAAGATATTGATTGCCCACTATAGACCCAGGTGATCTTTTGATAAGCTTTCCTTTTTTCTTGTGGCCTGGTGGGAGCATAATGTTATCAATCAGTTTTTATCTGAGTGGATAAAGGGGTCGATCTGGTGACTTCTCTTTCTAAGGTATTTGATATCTGAAGTACTTTGACTTCCTTGGAGGGGATGATAATTCAGGCTTTGGTTTTTACTACTAGTTGGCACTTTATTATTCTATCTGGCTTTTGGAACCCTAGGGCTAGAGTTGTAAATTTGGAAGCATTCCATTTTCAACCTCACTAGGGTTATCCATTGACTGATCTTTGTTCATATTGGCATCCAGGTGATCTACCATCTAAGAGTGATTCTGAAAATCCATAGATGAGTTGTGCGAGTTGTCACTCTTTGGCAACACAAAGACACTTCCATCATCAGAGTCATTCATGTCTTCGAGAAGGTTTTCATGCATTATGCCTTCGTCCATAACTGTTAAAATATAAACTTGATAAATAAAACTTTATTCAATTATTCTACTTTTTTAATTATTCTACTTTTTTACTACTATGGGGTTTTGGGGTTTTGGGGTTTTGGGG